TGCTTCCAGAGGGCCGTGGTGCCCACGTTAACCCCCGGGCCCCGGCTCACCTGCCTGCCACACAGGCGGCAGGTGGCATACTGGTTGGGGTGGTGCCCGGCGCGGGCAGGGGCCAGGTGGAAGTACTCCCAGGCCTCGGAAAACCGAGTGCCCTTGTGGTGGGGCAGCGGGGCGGGCGTGGCGCTGGCGAAGGGGCCGGCTGGCTCTCCCGTCTCACTGATCTCCGCCTCCTCCTTCACCTCCAAGTGCCCTTTGGCCTTCATCCTGTTTGCGTCCTCGTCCTCCTCTTCCCGCCTCATCCTGTCCCCTCTCTACAGCGTTCCTTGAGCCAGAAGTCTCTAGAGCTGAACTGCGCTCGGGAAGCGCCTGGGTGACTGGGGTTTGCAGCAGCGGCCACGCCCGTGCGGTGACTTCCCTCCTTTCTGCTCCACTGGAGTCAGGGTGAGTCAGAGCCAAGCACAACGGCCTTGGAGGCTCCCGTGTGCCTCCCCTCCACGACCCGGACGCGTGCCGATCCCTCCTGGGCTGGGCCAGGAGGCAGGGCAGCTCGGTGGAGCGATTGTTACTGCAAGGCTTCCGTGAGCTGTGTTCGGCACCGCAACCAGCACCACAGGCGCTTTCCAACACTGAGAATCTCAGGTGTTCTCTTGGCTCTTCCCCTGGCTGCTGCCACTGCTGCGATGCTCCCGGAGACCTGTCTGATGTTCTCTGGAGGCAGGAGGAGCAGCCTCAGGGTTCAGGCTGTCCAGGATGCCAGGGCGAGGGCCTCACTGGGCCTCCCTCAGCGTGGGTAGAAGCGAAGAGAGACTGATGCTAACTAGGAGAGACTCGCTGTGCCTCTGAGCAGAGGCAGGAGCCAGTCCAGAAGCTACGAAGCCTGCCAGGGTCTGGGAAATGCAGTTCCTGGTGTAAAGTCAGCTTGCTGCTAGAAAGGTTCCTCGGGGGCTGGGACTCTGAGCACTCCGAACAGCAGGCTTAGCTGTTTTCAGCAGGAGGAGCTGGCGTATCTGGAGGACAGGGCTGGGGAGTGCATCTCCACAGCCTGGTTGTGGCGGGGTGACCTCAGCAAGCAGCTCGCCACACTCCACCTTCCCCGGCGCCATCACCTGCAAAGCCAACAGTGGATGAGATCTTCCTAATGTCAACTTCCTCCAGATGTCTGGTGTAGGGACCCCATTTTAAGGATAAATTAACACATGGAAGGTTATGGTACATTTTAAAAAGAGCCTGACTTCTCTCTCTTTGATCATTGTTTAAATGATTGAGAACCTTATCCATCAAGCTTTGCCACCCTGAGCAATTCAGAAGTACCACCCAGCCCCAAGCGAGTACTTACCGGCGAGCAAGGCTTGGGACTGGCCTCTGAGGGTTCCGATGCAGGCAGTGCCCCTACCCCATGGGAAGGTTGTTAGCTGCCTGCTGCCGCAGTGAGGAGGGCACCTCCTCTTCCTGTTCCCTGGAACAGGAAGCCTTGTTTCTACATGGGTGTGACCCTACCTGTAGGGTTTTTCTGCAATAAATGCAGGCCTTTTCTCCTCCTCCTTCCACCACCAAAAAAAGTTGTCCCTGGCAAATGTTGTGAAGTAAAACAATAAATCAAGCACCTACAAGTCTTAGTTGTTTCCAGAAGACTAGATCATCTGGCTTCTCAAGCAAAGAAGATTTAAGATGGAGGAAGGGTGAAACATGGGCAAAGCAACCACATGCCTTGAGGATGCCTATGGTTTCAAATATTTTGTCCAGTTGTCAGGCCGTGAAGTCTCCATCGTTGGTTGGAAACTATTGGTATTATAAATAAAGTCAGTAGAAAAGTCAGAGAACTTGCAGAAAGGGAAGATTAAATAAAAGGACGCTTCTCCTGCAGTTTAGAGAAATATAGCAGATCTGGGGTTGATTTCTATTATATTATGTAACTAGAATTGGAAAAGCTGACATCTGTTGGCTTCTACTTTCAGTTGAAGTGAAATAAAGGGATAATCACAACTTAAGCAAAAAATATAAATTCACAGATAGATAGATAGATTTTAGAAGGAAAAACTACTAAGAGGAGACAAGCCCATTTTACAGATATCCATGGGAGGAAAACCTTGAGTTACAGGAAGAAAATACAGAAATGGTAGAGTAGAAAGCATGGAGAGACTAAAAGTTAAATTTCAAATGAAAACTAAGTGTGTGGGGCCTAGAGAGGCTCCAAATAGAAATGAAGAGTTGGTGAACAAATAGGGGAACTTTTTTTTAAGAGTTTTTCTTTCCAGACTAATAAGCTAAATATTTTCAGACTGATTCTGTGAAAAGTCCTTTGGAAAAGGTCCTGTCCAAACTTAACCAAACTGAATATGGGATCATTTACAAATGGTCACCATTTCAGTATTTCATCTGTGGAAATAAGGGAATGATTAGTGTTACAGCCAGATTTGGATTCATTTTTCCTGACTTGTCAATCTCATCTTGCTCCAACCTCTGCTTCCAACATCCCCAGCTCACACCCAAGTCCATGAACCAATCCATCAACCATCTTTTGTGACTTTCCCACTACTTTCCACCTGTAGGTTCCAGGTCTGACTCTTTCCTGTCCACAAAATATAAATGTGCCAAGTTGTTCCCAGATTTATCCTTCTCTGTACTCCCACAGAATTCTCCAAATGCTTTTTTGGCACTTTCTACAGAATTCTTTGTGGTATTACTCACTTATACCATATGTACTTAGAATAATGTGCTAGAGAAACCAATAATTTGCTTGTTCCGTGAATACTTCATAAAGAGACTCACACTGAGGGAGTGAACGATTTTGACTTCTCAGCAGAGAAAGGTGTGTGTGTGTGTGTGTGTGTGTGTGCACATGTTTGTATGCATGTGCACATAAACTCTTTTTCACATTTATTTCATATTTTTTTCAAATCTGACATGTTTTTCTTCTTAATCCTTTGAAAGTTAACAAAGAAATACAACTTGGCTTGCTCAGCAAAATCACATATGCTTGACATTTCGTAACATGTTTGACTTCAGTGTGAACTAATTTAACCTGAAGTTTTTCAATTTTAGAGACCAGAGGAGTTTCAGGACAAGAGCCATATTCCTAAACAAAATCTTAGAACACTGTCTGGAGATAGTATAGAATATTTGAAACCTGAATCATTCCATGAAATCTGAATTTAGAAAATTTACAAGTGTTAAATCTTTTTAATATTTTTATTGAGTTAACAAGAAATTTCTTCAGTGAGCCAGTTGCCTTTATAAAATAATGGAACTCCTCCTCATTCCTGATATTACCATATCATCATCTTTTGGTAGATTAGATGAGCATAGAGAAAATGAATCATGAGAGGGGCTAGAGGTATTGACATTAATACAAACCTTTACACATTTTTAAAACATTTTTTTTCACTATAGATCCTACACAAATCACCTAGATAAAGTCAGTCTTTGGCATTTTGTTGGATTAAATAAACAGAAATCTCTTTCCTTTACTTAATAAGAATATATTTCAGGAGACCTGCTTTTGCTTTTAAGACAGAAAGAGACAGAATTTCATGGATCTGCATTCCTGTCATGTGCCTGCATCCCCATTAAGAACTGAATGGGTGAGAAATCTGGGGCTTCAGCGTTTGCTATCTACCATTTTGGGTACAACAAATAATCTCCTCTGAAAGTCTCAGTATTTCCTTGGGGGTTTTACAGTGATGTTCTGAGGGATGTTCATCTGCGCCTTGGCGGGATCTCACCAGAAAGATGGGGCTTAGTATTATTCTTAGATTTTGTTTCTCAGCTCTGCTCAAAATCAGACTCTTCAGGCATAACTAGTCTGCAGGGGAATTAGCACACCAAGCATTACATATAGGTAACAGTTCTTTACTAATTTACTAGCATATTCATCAATTGTGAAAAATATCTGAGAATTAAAAACTTAGGGCTGGCCACATGTAAAATACACATACCTCTTGACGAGAAAACAAAACTATAAAAAGGATTATAATTTTCTAGTGTCTCAGATGAAATAATGAAGATCAGATAATACCTTACTGCATATTTTCACCAGGCTCTTGAAGAAACTACCATCTCACAAAAACAAACACAGTGTTGGGAGAAAAAAAATAATAATAAACTAACCCTACTGCTAAGCTCCCTGGTTTTATAACATAAGCTACCTGCTCTTCTACTTGCTTCTTACTTTAATGCAACGTGTTTTACCAGGAAATATCTTTTACTGAGATTAAGCTAACACCTCCAGTTTTACCATCAACTACATTCCACTCCCTTTAACCATTCGGTGATTCTGTGCCCTGACTTCCCCATCTGTCAAATGGCAGTATTAAAGTGGGTCCTACTTAGCCTATAGGATTGTTAAGATGATAAAAAGTTAATTAGGTAAACTCTTTACAAGTCAAAAGTGAAATGTTTATATTAAATGGTTTCTGTAGTTGTTGCTGCTAACAGTACTTTACATTATTGGGGGAACAAAAACAACAAAAGTCTGGGTCTCTTTTAGCTTTTAGTCTGACAGAATATTCTTCCCTGGCCTCTGCCTGTTATAACTTCTTCCTGTTCTTTGGTTTCCATTTACGCTATTTTATTTTGCCTATGTAGAGATGTAATCTTCCTTTTCCAGAACTCAGAATCCAAATTTGCAACATTAGTTTAGTTCTAGATTCTTCTTAAATTGACCTTGAATTCTAGCTATTAATTTGTAACATATCTATAGGCAATTGCCTTTTATCGTTCACATTTCAAGCAGCCTCTTAAATGTGAACACTGCCTTGTTAAAAGTGGAAAGGACTTCCCTGATGGTCCAGTGGTTAAGACTTTACGTTTTCACTGCAGGGGGTGCAGGTTCAACCCCTGGTCCAAGGAGTTCCACCAATAAATAAATAAAGAAAATAATAAAAATGGAAAAAGTTATTTTGTGCTAATTTGCCTCATCTGAGGCCCAGTGGAGATGTATGGGGCACCAGTTTCTTCTGAATTGGCAAATAATTCTTTCCATATTCTGTCTCTAACCCCAGAGAATCTTTACCTGCTCACTGAGGAATGTATTTCCCACAGCAAACCTCACCTGGTTTATACAGAGGAGCTTCCCTCAAGCTGAAATAGAAGGTAAGGAAATCAGTCAATGGAAGTGGGTTTGGAAAAAGAAAGAAGACAAAGAACAATAGAAGTTGCCACTGCCCAAGTCGATCTTGGCATTCAAGAACATTTCTCATGCCAAGGAAACATCATCTTGCCTACCAATGCCATTTTCTGACACCTCATCTGGCTCCTCCAAGGAGCAGGGAGGTATTTCCCAGAATACAAGAAATACAGTTGACTTGGTCCATTCACATATGAACAGTACTGTTCTTATTTAACTGTTGGTAAATGGAGATATCTTCTATGAGAGCAAGCAAGTTTAATTCAATGTACATGTATTAATCATGTCATTTAGTTCCAGTTAACTTAACATCACTACCTTAAACCAACAAGCACATAAATTCTCTTTTTTCTTGCAAGGATTGGGGTAGGGTGGGGGTGGAGGATTGGAGAGCGTATATGCAAGTAGCTTGGCTTCATGACAGGGAACATGCCCATCAGGAGGGTCAGAAGTTCCTGGAGCAGGACACACACGGAGGCAAGCTCAGGTGAGAGTGCACAGAGCCGCGTTTTCATGGCAGACACGATAGACGCTGCCAGAACAATCTGGGCCATCTCCTGCCCGGGACAATGGCCCTTCTCCTTTCTCCAGAGTCAGTTTTCCTCAAAGCTCAATATGTTTTCAGCAGTAGCAGTCACATATTCCTTGCTGTATTATCTTTAATTGATAAAGTTTTAAGTCTTTGTTGATGAATGATTTTATTGATCCACTTGACTCATGTTGAATTGCTGGTTTTGTTACTGGATCACTTGAAACACAGTTCACCCGCAATAATGACAGGATGCAATCCTGCAAATATCTGTTAAGGGTCATTACAGATATGTTAGAAGGGTCGTTATCCCTACGCCCATGAGGCCAGGCACTGTGGCCGGAGTTCTACCAGCACACGCCTGCATGTAGTCATCACTTTGGCAAGCGCTGACTTTAGAATCAGCATTTAGAACCTTCAGTTTCAAGAAGCTGTGAAACAAAGTTCCGACCCACAGGCACAGAGAGTGCTGCATTCATGTCCTGCTGCCGCGTATGCTATTTGGAGGTGGTACCAACAGTGGCAGTTAGACAGGATTCCACTTCTAAAGAAGACTCACAGGACCCCACGTGACAGTGTTATAAATAACACACAGTGTCATAAGTAAATAACAGCGTATTTCAGGAAAAGGACATAACCTAGCAGCCATATCCTTAAGGTGAGCGTATGGATCCCATGTCCACATTTGAAAGCGAAGTGAAAGTGTTAGTGGCTTGGTCATGTCTGACTCTTCGGGACACTGTGGACCGTCGCTGGCCAGGTTCCGCTGTCCGTGGAGTTCTCAGGCAAGAATACTGGAATGGGGGCCATTCCCTTCTCCAGGGGAGCTTCCAAACCCAGGGATGGAACCCGGGTCTCCTGCACTGCCGGCACATTCCTTACCACTGAGCCACCGCGCAGCCCGGGTACACATTCACAGCGCCTCAAAGTGGGGGACCTGAAATGGAGTCTCAGCTGAGGTTGTTTTATATTCTTCTGGTCATTTAGGTGTATTCTTGCTACTCCTCACTCTCCACAGAAGAGACCTCCCAGGATCTCACTCAGGCCAGGGACAAATCATCAGTCGCGCTGTTATCAGCAGTGCTGATGAGCTGGGAAAACTTGCCCCCAAACCCGCTAGACTCATGGTTATAAATAAAGGAAGACCTTTAACCAGTACATTCCATACCTTGACCATGGATCAACGCCATGTGGGAGCTTGAACAAAACAGTTCAGTTTAATTCCAGGCCCGTCAGACAAATGGACAGGGCTTCAGTCTGACCACCTTTAGACCTCACCACTGGAAGCTGAACTGTCTCCAGCCATGCCTTGGCATCATTTTACGGCTCATATGGGAAATGTTGGTGACGAACCTTGTTCTTATCTGTCTTGTAGAAATGTATACTGCTAGTGAAAAAAGAAAAGACAAAGATGGATTTTGGGAACTGAAGTCTGTTTTGACAAGTGTATATGATAATAAACCAGCCCACTCAAACAACCTGACCATCTGGTGTATGGCTCTGTCTCCAGCCCCTGGACACAAAGTGTGGAATAGCTCATCTGAAAAGATCACATTTTCCTTGGGTGAGTTATCTATTTAATGAGGTCAACAAGGGGGTGGCCAAGACTGCCATAAGTTCAGAACATTTCTAACTAAAACAAATAGGATACTGATTGTTTCCATGATATTTTAACCTCTGAAAACTCTCTCTACACTATTCAAAATTATTCAGTTTCAAAATATCACACATTTTTTGACTAAAGGGACTCTACTGAAAAGAATTTCTTCAAATAAAAAGTAGCTAATTCCTGTTTCCAGGAATTTCTGGTGAATACAGTGAACTTTTTGTTCAGATTCAATTAATAATAACTCAATTAACTAGCATTTTTGTTAATCTACCACATGATGAAATTTAATACTAATATATTGATAATCAAGAGAGTTTTTAAAATCCCAAAATTACTTCTGAGTCTATAAAAGCATTCATTTATATATAGCATATTTAATTCTAATACTTAGGAATGGATAAGCCATGCTGTATATGTGTGTTTGCTTAGTCGTGTCCAGCTCTTTGCTACCCCATGGACTGTAGCCTACCAGGCTCCTCTGTCCACGGAATTTTACAGGGAAGAATACTGGAGCAGGTTGCCATTTCCTTCTCCAGAGGATCTTCCCAACCCAGGGATCGAATCCACGCCCCTTGTGTCTCCTGCATTGGTAGGCAGATTCTTTACCACCCTGCCACCAGGGAAGCCTGGAAAAGCCGTGTATACCATACCACGATTTTAGTATACCTAGATTTGAAGCCCAGAATCTCACACAGAGGAGTTTTATGACTTCAAAGTTGATATGTGGGATCATTCTACTTATTACAACATTTGATTAACCAGAATCCATTACTCTGAACCAGATCAAATAATAAAGATTTACTACAAAAAAGATGTGAACAAATGTCTCAACAAATATAGTGACAACAGATTGCCCATAAAAAACTGAAGTGTGAAGTGACAACTGTCATCTATTCTTATGTAACAACAAAGTAATACCTATAAAACTTAATATTGCAAGTCATTATTACAACTCTGCAGAATCACTGACATCATTTACCACCTTCCTATTTTCAGAGATATTATAGTCTCTAACTTATAAAAACCAGAATAATTTATGAGGGAAAAATTTCCTTTGTTTCAAGGCTACAGTCTGCATATTGGGTCCTTCCCAACCCTGACACCAATGCCAGTGGTTGGTTCCTGTGAGCCTTGGATGGGGTACGTGGCTCTGTAAGTCCACCCCTACCTTGCAGAAACAGGTGCCATTCAGACACCAGGACAGTAGCATCGTCACTGCATCCCTGCCCATTCACCTCATTCTGTGAACTTTGAATTAATTATTCAGGAATGGTCATGAAATATCCATACTCAGCTTGACCTAATTCCCTCAGAAGTAAGTGCTCCTCCTTTCCAGAACACTGTACAAGGTTAGGGCTACAGTCTTAGAAAAGGGTAAATGTAACTTGTTCTCACGTAGATTTCCCAGGAGCCTTGGCAGAATCCAGAATCATCACAGACAGATTTTGTTTTTCTTGTTCAGCCGCTCAGTTGTGTCTGACTCTTGGCAACCCCGTGGACTGTGGCCCACCAGGCTCCTCTGTCCATGGGATTTCCCAGGCAATCATACTGGAGTGGGTTGCCATTTCCTTCTCCATGGGATCTCCCTGATCCAGGGATTGAACCCACATCTTCTGCACTGGCAGGCAGATTCTTTACCACTGAGCCACCAGGGAAACATCACATTTGAAAAATATTTTATGATGTTAAGACTGTTTCTTGTTTTTTTGTTATTGTTTAAAGACTATTTTTTAAAGCAGTTTTAACGTCACAGCAAAATTAAGAGGCAGGTACAGAGCGTCCTCATATACCCCTTCCCCACATGTGCATCTTCTCCCTAATCATCCGCATCACCCACCAGAATGGTGCCTTTGTCACCACTGATGAAGCTACACCAACACAAAACACGTGCCCAATGGCCTTAGTTTACTCTCAGGCTTCCTCTTGGCGTTGTGCATCCTATGGCTTTCGACAAATGATGTACTCGTCATTATAGTGCCATAGAGCCCTAAGTTTTCACTGTCCTAATTAGATTTCTTTCACTTAATAATATGCATGTAGGATTCCTCCATGTCTTTTCATGGCTTGATAGTTTTTTTAGCACTGAACAGTATTCCTTTCGATGAGTATATCACAGTTTATATATCCATTCATCTACTGAAGGACATCTTGTTTGCTTCTGAGTTTGGGCAATTAAAAATAAAGCCTTTATATTCTTTTCCCATATAGGCCATTCACTTTACTATACACCTGAACTATACTCCAATAAAAATTTTTAAAAAGTAAAGCTTCAATAAACATTCATGTGCAGGTTTGTATGGGTCATGTGTTTGCAACTCCTTTGAGTAAATACCAAGGAGTACAATTGCTAGATTGTATTTTAAGAGTATGTTTAAATTTATAAGAAATCAACAAATTGCCTTCGAAACTGACTATATCATTTTGCAAACCCAGCAACCACTGATGGAGAGTTCCTACTGCTCCACATCCCTGCCAGCATTTTGTATTGTCAGTATTATAGATTTCAATCATTCTAACAGGTGTAACAATATTTCATTGTTGTTTTAATTTGCATTTTCTGATGATATATGACGTGGAGCACGTTTTCATATGCTCATTTGCCAAATGTATATTTTCTGTGGTGAGATGTCTATCTCTGGCCCATTTTTAAATCAGGTTATCTGTTTTCTTATTGTTGAGACTTAAGAATATCTTTGAATATTTTGATAACGGCACTTTATCAGATGTGTCTTTTGCAAATATTTTCTTCCAAGCTTGCCTCCTCGTTCTCTTGAACTGTATTTGACTTGAATATCAGAAAATAGTGAATATTTTAAGGCAATAAGGAAGAACACAGATTCTGGTACTCAAAGCACACGATAATTTCAATTTTACAGGATAGCCCGGCTCTAGCATAATTTTAAGCTCTAAGTGGATGGTTAATTTTACATTGTCAAATGAGTTTTCACCCTTTACAATAAAATATTAAAGACAATAAATCTTAAACAGTTCAGTTTCCCAAAATTATAGCTTGTATTCTGCTCATATTCTGACATCTGTCTTCATGAATGATTTAGAAGATACAGTTGAGGCTCCACAAAACACTGTCATTGCAATATCATATTTTCCCATTTGCTATAAGTTCTTAAACATTTACTTGCAAACATGCTTTCTGCCTGCAGTAGTACTGCTGTATGCTTCACAAACTCTGGAGCAAAGTTCTGATGCCTTGTGCAAGGGTCATTGCCGTGTGGAAGAGTCAGACTATTACTGTAGGCAGATATTGAGATGAAAACGCAGGAGATAAATCAGTCTCTCAGTGCTAAAATAGAGAAATTCTGAGACTATTAGAGGACAGAAAGGAGATTTAGAGAGACGGGGGGAGGAGTTTTTGCTCTTTTGTTCCCAGAAAAGAGTAATAATGTTAGCAGGCTAAAAGGCAACAGCCCTCTGAGGGGCTTCCTTCCCCACCTACCCCTATCTTCCAGGACATTCACCTGCTCAGCGGTTCTTACTCTAGAAAACTCAGGAAGGGGAAGGGATCAAGGTGCAGGTGGCTTGTCAGGCAGCTATTTGAGTACCAGGGCCTAAAGAATTGTCATAATTCAACAGTAGTTTAAAAAGAAAAGAAGACTCTTTCTAAAAATATTCTAACATGTCAACCTAGTCTATGAGAATGTCTAATATTGTAGTGCTGCAGAATCAGCATTTTGGCATATGCAAGGAGTTATTTTGTTTGGGGCAGTAGAGGGACTATCTTATGTTGTTTCAATTCAAAAGTTAAGTGCAGATACCTCCCCAGGGTGGGTAATATTCTGGCTATCATAAGCCTCAACAGAGATTTGTTGATTAAATTGATTTCCAACTGTAACAGCCGAGATCCAGACCTTTGGGATACAAGAGGATTGATGAGTGGTTCACTGTGTGTAAGAGAGTGTCCGTATGTGTTTGAGGATGTGGAAAGAAGATTCAAAAGGGATAGCTCCAGAGTGGGATGAGAGGACTAGTGAATATGAAGGTGACATATTCAAGCCAAATTCTCCTGGTTTCCTGGATTCCCTCATACCTGTGACTGATCCCAGGAATGTTGAAACTATCAAGAAGGGCCTTTACTATACATACGGATCACCTGATGATCTTCTTAAAAAGCAGATTCTGATTCAGTAAGTTGAGGGATTGGGAGGGGCCTGCATTTCTAATAAGGTCCTAAAAGTTACTGTGGACCACATTCTGAGAAGCAAGGACATCCCCAAACCCTGAGGTTCAGTCCTTTCCTGAGTGAACCAGCTAGTGGCAGAGGCACACCCTGAGGAAGCTCTGGAATTGACCCCGCTGCCCTTGTGGACACTGCTGCCCATGAGGGTGGTCCTAAGCGCCCTGCCAGGCCAGTGCAGAGTGGATGCCCTCAGACATGGATGACGTGCCCAGCGGCCCAGCCCTTTACAACATCATGGTAAATGTAATGGTCTGAAAACTAGCTGACATGTTCCTGTTAAATTCTGTATTTGATTTTGGGAAATAAATTGTCTTTGTTAGGTTTTAGCCCCTCCTTTTTATGCCCACTTAGTTTTGTTTTTACCAGGACAGAATTTCTACTTCACAGGCCAGTCTGAAACTAGAAACTCTTGATAGCCTTAGCAAAGCTGTGCATCATTTTTGTCATAGAGCAAAGAGCTCATCTCAAAATGCAAATCTTGCAGTAATAACATCGTAATGTACTGTGAAGCTAAGGACCCTGCAGCTTACAAAGATATTTAGTGATGAAACCTGACAAAATAATATCTTAAAATAGAAATACTCAACAAATAAAAATTAAATGCTTCTTTCCCAATTTGGAAATCTAGGATTGAGCATAACCTATCAACAGCTTTTGTTCCAGTTGGCAAACATTTTCTGTTTTTAACCCGCCAGATAGTAACTATGTTGTTTTGTGGACCGTGTGATCTCTATCCCAATTATTCAGCTCTGCTATTATAGTACAAAGGCAGCCATAGACAGTACGTAAACAAATGGGCATGGCTGTATTTCAATAAAACTTTATTTGCAAATATAGACAGTGAGTGGAATTTCACCTTAGCCATAATTTGCCAGTCTCTATTCTAATCAATCTACAGACACCTGTGCATTATTTTTCCATACCCATGCTCCATTTCATTAAGGTTGTTATTTCTGTAAGGTGTTACCAAAAAAACCCAAATGAACTTTTTGGCCCGCCCAATAGTTTGGAAAATGAGGTGTATGACACAACAGCAGTCAGATACATATTTAAAATTGATCTTCTTTCAATTCAGGGGTAAGAGGGAATATTCATCCACTTGCATGTGCCAGGAACCAGGAATACAGTGAGAAACAAAACAATTACTTCTCTTGAGAGACATAGCAATGAAGTAATGAGGCCTTTGCTAGGGTAAACGTTAAGTCCTATGAGCACATCACAAAGAACCCTAGGATTCTTCAAGTTTGAGACGTACGTAGTAGAAAGTTTAGAGTGGGAAAGTCTTAGGAAACAGCAAGCACAAAGATCAAGAATTCATGGAGAACATATTATGTTTGGTAAATTGAACTGGATTGAGAGTATGATTTTAAAGAGATGTAAAAGATAAAGATTCACTGGTGGTTCAGTCAGTGAAGAATTTGCCTGCAATGCAGGAGACCCAAGTTCAATCCCTGGGTCGGGAAAATCCCCTGGAGAAGGGAATGACTACCTACTTCATTATTCTTGCCCGGAGAATTCTATGAACAGAGAAGCCTGGCAGGCTACAGTGCATGCAGTTGCAAAGAGTCAGACATGACTGAGCAACTAACACTTTCCAAAGATAATGGGCAACATCAGGAAATGAAGATGGAAATTTAATGTGGGATTAACTGAGAATCAGATTTGCGTGTCACACTGAGGGGCTCAGACTTGCTCCTGATAGCATGGGAGGAAGAGGACGGTCACCCTGCTGAAAGATCCACATGCTCTTCATACAACCACCCCTCAGGATGCTCAATAGCAAGTGGTCACTTACGATAGCAACACAGCCAACTGGGAGCACGACCTATAGTCAACAGCAATAACAAATTACCAGTAAAAATAAAGCACAGATGCTTTTAGACTACAAAAACAAATTCCTTCCAATGTGATATGTGCTATCAAGTGACATAAATTATATATACTCTTTCCTTAAAGTATAGAAACAATGATATCATTTCTAACTAAATGTCCAAATAATTGATTCAGATCATCAGATATGTAATACTGTAATCAATGCCATTATATATAGAACAATCACAAAACCCTCTAGCCTTAAATAAAAATAACTTTATTTAAATAAAATTAATTTAAATATAATTAAATAATTCTATTTAATAATTAAATATTGATTATATTAATCCACATGTTCCTAAAGTCAATAGGTCCTTCTGACATTTGTAAATTGTTTTAAACTGATGGTAGAATTATTTTACAGTACAACAATGAACTTTAAGGAACTGACATGAATGATTAAGTGAAGCAACATATATCAGCCTCTCTCTCATCCCAGAAACTGCCCCCCACACACACACACACGAGAGAGAGAGAAAAAAAAATTGTAGCCAAATAAAAATCTTATGAAAAAATTGGAATTTTAGCAAGAGCACACAACACCATCAGTCTTATGCCCACCGATGTGTATCGCTGTTTCCACTCTTAGTGATAAACAATATTTTTGTGGGTCTATGAATTTGGTTACTTGCCAAATGCCTCAAAACACTGCTGCTACAATTGTTTTACCAGGTCTTGGTTAAACGTGGAAGGTTCCCTGACCTCTCAGTGTTGGCTGGTGCCCCTTCTCGCATTCTCCTGGCATCCTGCCCTTCTGTTACTGTAGCACTCAGCATGCTACCTGGCTGCCTACCTATATGCTAGGCTGTATGCTCTTTAAAGACAGTCCTATGTCCTTACCTTTCGCCAGTTTAGTCCACTGCCTTGCCCGTAGCAAGCAATAACAATGACTTTTAATCAATAATAATTTGTTAGATGAATAAATAAAGGTTTGGAGGGAACTAAGTTAATATTTTATCTTCCTATCACAGTATTTTGTTCATTAGCAATGTCTGTTTCATCCTTCCAGGCTCAGTGAACCCTCCAACAGATTCTCCACTCAACGCTACAGAATCTACCCTTGGCACGCAACCTTCTCCAGCCAACAGCATATCTCCTACAGGTAAGAATGTTTTCATGCTGTTTTACTTCCCATGAACTATTAATCCTTTAAGTAGATTGAGAAAAAAAATTTCAGAAAATTTGTATGATTCATGCCCATTCTTATCTATGGAGATTTTAAATAAATATATTAAGTACTATTTTCATGGATTAAAAGAATTAGCACAACTTCCAAAGTCTTTCACTTTAAGACCTGGCAAGACCAGGGTCAATAAATATTCAATGAGAAATTTAAATTCTGTATTTATTATTAAAGAAGTTAATAAATTGACCGTGCTCCTCTCCAACTGTGCTCTCAGTAGGGTGTTTAAGAAATTGTTGTAAATAAGGATCCTGTGGGCCATAGGTAGGTAGATAGTTTTAAATTTAAATTTGTTCTGGTTCAAATTAGTTTTGACAAAGTTGACTGGGGTGGGGACTTGAATTCAGCCTCTCAATGGCATTATTAATAATGGAGTTCAGGCTGGGTCAGTGTTACTATGGCAAAAGGATAGCAGTGACTTTCACAAGTTGGCACCGATGCAAACAAATCATAAATTTCCATGTCTGTGGCCTTTATGTTTAATAAAAAAGCAAGGTGACTTTCTCTAGCACAGAAAAGTATGTTCTACACAGAGTAGAAGTATGCTTTTTATTTCTCCTTTAATTAAAACTATCAATTTTAGCTCAAAACAAGAACTGAAAATGGAATAAAACAAAGCAGTCTCTAGAAATGAACAATTCGTTTAGCCTGTAGCCTCTGACAGATAGCCTGCAGTCACGTCACAAGCTGATGGCGCTCAGAGAATGAACCATGCGGCAGGGCGAGAAATGCCTGCAAATCACCCAGCAGAAGTTTTGCATCCATCTGTTTTTCCCTAGTTCTTAAGACTTTGTAATTTTCTCTTATATGCTTCTTTTTCTTCCACTTCTAACTCGTCATTCAGCAATAAATGATAGTAAATTGTGATATTCTTCATTCAACAAACAGCATATTCAACAGTAATACCCTAAATCTCTCTAGTACTCTCTGTATTAGTTATCCATCACTGTATAACAAATTGCCCAAGCAAAACTAAACGAGGTACAACACTCATACTGTCTCCTGTAGTTGTACACAAGACAGGAGCAGCTTCGCTGGGTGTGTGGCTCAGGTTCTTTGCTGAGGGTGGGGTCAGGCTGTCGGGCTCCCGTCATCTGAAGGCTTGACTGAAGCTGACGGCTCTGCTTCCAAACTGGAACACGTTGGCTGGAGGTCTCAGCTACTCACCACACGGACCCCTCTACAGGGCTGCCTCTCTCTCTGGGAGCTGTAATCCCCCAGACCAAGTAACTCAAGAAATAGAGGCACCAAGATAAAACCCCCCACCTCCTTATGACCCAGTCTACAAAACTGTACACCATTATTATTGCTATATTCTATTTGTTAAAAGCAAGTCACTACATCCAGCTTATACTCAAGAGGAAGAGAATTGAGCTACACCTCTTTTTTTTTCATTTATTTTTATTAGTTGGAGGCTAATTACTTTACAATATTGTAGTGGTTTTTGTCATACATTGACATGAATCAACCATGGATTTAGGAAACCAGATCTGAATGAGCTACACCTCTTGAAGGAAAAAGTGTCAATGAATTTGTGTACAAAGTAAAGCAACCACATTTTATCACTTAGAAAATGTTTGCACCTAAAATTCAATGTGGTTTGATCTTTTTTAAAATGAGAGGATCCCATAGACAGAGGAGCCTCGCAGGTTACAGTCCATGAGGTCACAAAGAGTCAGACATGACTGAAGTGACTGCGCATGCACACTCTCATCATGAGAGGCAGACAGAGTAAGCATTCCCATCCCATTCCCATTTTCCAGATGGGGAAACTGAGATACTGAGAGCTTAAGTGACCACATGACTAACAAGTGGCAAAAGTTAGTGTTCACACCAAAGTCTTCTGAATATAAATTTAGTTCTCAATACATTAGGTGCCACGCTTTTTCCAATTGGTCTAAAAACTTCATGAGTACAGGGATCATATTTGTTTTGCTTCCTCACACATGCCTAGCACAGTATTGGCATGCAAAAATATTAGTTGAATAAGTGAATGAAAAAGAATAAATGAGAATAATGTTCCTTCACTATGTATATATCATGTAATATACTCTGTGCTGTCAAAAAAGATGATAGTTTGTTTCCACCTTCAGAAAGATTCTTGTGTGTTTGGAGAGAGATGACATGCACATATGAAAATAGTAAGTCCGAATAGTAAGGTGAAAAGTGCCGTGTTTTATAGAATTACAATTATAGAATTACAATACTGAGGAGAGGCCGTGTCTTCATTGTCATGCTCGGGCACTCAGTTCTGTCCAACTCTTTGTGACCCTTTGGACTGTAGCCAGCCAGGCTCCTCTGTCCATGGAATTGTTCAGGCAAGAATACTGGAGTGGGTTGCCTTTATCTTTGAGTATGGAAGGGTGTCTATGAGTTCATGAATTCAGGAAATGTTACAAAGAGAGATGAAATAAGCTGACCTTAAGTACATATTATATGTATTTGACAAGTTAAGAGCATGGGAAAATACTTTAAGCAAAAAATTGGGGTCACCAAGAGTCAGACAGGACTTTGCAACTGAACAACAAACGAAAAGAACAAAGTGAGCAGTTGTGTGCTGGTGACGATATTCATGGGGATTAGAGAAAATATTGGTAGGTAAGTTCTGGTTAAAGGAGTGGGATTGTGTAGCATCCTTGAGAAGCAAGGAGGAAGATTGGAAAATGCAGAATAAAGAGAGCCTTAAGACCAATCTAAGAATTCTAGTTATTATGCTTAAGAAATGGGAGGGACCTCATGAAACATTTTTAGAAAGGAATTGACATAATTCATTCACCAAATGTCTATTGAGCACTTACTATGTACCAGATACTCTTCTAGGTGCTAGAAATTCAACAGTGACTTTTTCTCTTTTTCAAAAGAAAAAGAATCCTGATGGTATATCGTGGTACATACAGTCTGCCAATTGAAAGCATAAGTGAGTTTCTTCTGGCTCACTTTTCTATGCGGTTAATTGACATGCACTACTAAACTGTTCCATCAGGTCAAATATCATTCTTATTTCTGTGAAGAAATCCAAGGAAAGAATAGGACGTTTGCTATCCTGAAGGAGTCTACAATCTAATATGGCTCTAGTATTAGAGAAGTTGAAAGAGTAAGAAGAAAAATATTTGTTTAAAGCAGAAAAAGTGCTACCTCGTCTATAGTCGTACTAAGGTGATGTAGTTGGGAAATCCCTGGAAAATCAAAAAACCTCCTTAAAAATAAGGTCCCACCACGATGGACTCAGGACTCTTTCAGATCAGTGGTCCTCACCAGGGTGATTTTGCTCTCTGTGCCCTGCGCCAGGGACAAATGCAGTATCTGGGGACAGTTTTGGCTGCTACAATGAGGGAAGAAATGGTGCTCCTGTCATCTCTTATGTAGAGGCCAAGGATGCTACAACAGAGGACAAAGAATTAATAGGGTCCAAAGTGTCAATAGTGCCGAGGCTGAGAAACCCTGCTTTGCTTCCAGACTCAAGCAGCTCAAGTGGAATAAGAGTAGCTATTTCTCACTTTGCAAAATCTAGACCTCTGTCAAGATAGTAACAAGGTTATGTTTGATTTATTTTCAAACATAAGCAATTTTTATATGTCAAAAAAAAAACATGACTTAACATGGCTGCTTATATCTAAATAAAATTCACTTGCTTAGAATAAACATTGAATTATAACTGAAAAATCTAAATTTCATTTTGGCTATCCAGAGGGTAATTATGAAATTACATGATGACTGGCTGCCTCAGAAGCTGGTAAGGCTTACCTTTATGTTCTTTTAAGAAAGGAAACGGGATGGAACATGTCATGAAAACCAACTTCAAAAGGCTATGGTTTCATTCCAAATTCTAAGATCTAGTGAACTATATAATCAGTCATAATTATTAAGCTACAGATCTTGCTGCAAACATCCAATTCATATTCCTTTTCTTTTTTTAAATTTATTTATTTATTTTTTTCCTTTTCTTACTAATGAAATTATATTCTTTATAAAAATGTAGAAAGTAATGAAACAATGTAATTTCATAGCCAATGGTAAGAGTGACTCAGGAAAGCCCAGCTCAGTTCAACCTGAATTAACGTGTTTTCTGAGTCCCGGCTGCTTTCTCAGTACTATCCTAGGAAAAGACAAGAGGCTGAAAAGCTGAGTGGTAACATAGGCACACACCTGTGTAGAACCACAGAAGACCCCAGGCAAATTTAGGATGAGACAGCACTGGTGTAAATCCAGGTCTTCCAGACATGAATGCTGGAGTGCGTTGCCATTCCCTTCTTTAGGGGATCTTCCCAACCCAGGGACTGAACTCGGCTCTCCTGCATTTCAGGCAGATTCTTTCCCATCTGAGCTGCTGATGGTAAAGAAACTGCCTGCCAATGTAGGAGACATAAGAGATGTGATTTTGATCCCTGGGTTGGGAAGGAGGAAGGAGGAGGAGGAAATGGAAACCCACTCCAGTCTTCATGCCTGGAGAATCCCATGGATAGAGGAGCCAGGTGGGCTATCATCCATAGGGTCACAAAGAGTCAGACATGGCTGAAGCAACTTAGCACACACGTGCATAGCCTCAGAGAGCAGACCTCAGAAATGCCACCCCTTACGCTGAAAATCATCCACGACCTTCCTTCACTCAACAAGAAAACACTGAGTGCTGACAATGAGCCAGGAATTTTTGAGGTGCTGGGATCCAGATGTTCAAGCTGGATTTAGAAAAGGCAGAGGAGCCAGAGATCAAATTGCCAACATCTATTGGACCATTGAAAAAGCAAGAGTGTTCCAGAAACATATCTACTTCTGCTTTATTGACTATGCAAAAGCCTTTGACTGTGTGGATCATGACAAACTATGGAAAATTCCTCAAAAGATGGGAAAACCAAACCACCTGACCTGCCTCTTGAGAAATCTGTATGCAGGTCAGAAAGCAACAGTTAGAACTGGACATG